GTTGAAAAAAAAAGTCCAAACAGCTTGCTTTTGCACGTAAATCACTATGTATTGTAAACCTTTGTAAAACATAAAATTTGTAATGTACCTGTGTCAAAACTTTAGAAACTAGTTAAAATCAATATGTTTTGATCGATTACATATCGTTTATCTATAATTTCATTGACTTTATAATGTTTTCACAAAGTTATTTAAATTTTGAAGTAAGCGTTGAAAACGTTGAAAAACTAGTCCAAACAGCTTGCTTTTTGCACGTAAATCACTATGTATTGTAAACCTTTGTAAAACATAAAATTTGTAATGTACCTGTGTCAAAAACTTTAGAAACTAGTTAAAATCAATATGTTTTGATCGATTACATATCGTTTATCTATAATTTCATTGACTTTATAATGTTTTCACAAAGTTATTTAAATTTTGAAGTAAGCGTTGAAAACGTTGAAAAACTAGTCCAAACAGCTTGCTTTTGAACGTAAATCACTATGTATTGTAAACCTTTGTAAAACATAAAATTTGCAATGTACCTGTGTCAAAACATTAGAAACTAGTTAAAACCAATATGTTTTGATCGATTACATAGCGTTTTTCTATAATTTCATTGACTTTATAATGTTTTCACAAAGTTATTTAAATTTTGAAGTAAGCGTTGAAAACGTTGAAAAACTAGTCCAAACAGCTTGCTTTTGCACGTAAATCACTATGTATTGTAAACCTTTGTAAAACATAAAATTTGTAATGTACCTGTGTCAAAACTTTAGAAACTAGTTAAAATCAATATGTTTTGATCGATTACATACCTTTTATCTATAATTTCATTGACTTTATAATGTTTTCACAAAAAGTTTAAATTTTGAAGTTTTGAAGCGTTGAAAACGTTGAAAAACTAGTCCAAACAGCTTGCTTTTTTTGCACGTAAATCACTATGTATTGTAAACCTTTGTAAAACATAAAATTTGTAATGTACCTGTGTCAAAACTTTTAGAAACTAGTTAAAATCAATATGTTTTGATCGATTACATATCGTTTATCTATAATTTCATTGACTTTATAATGTTTTCACAAAGTTACTTAAATTTTGAAGTAAGCGTTTAAACGTTGAAAACGTTGAAAAACTAGTCCAAACAGCTTGCTTTTGCACGTAAATCACTATGTATTGTAAACCTTTGTAAAAAAACATAAAATTTGTAATGTAAATCCTGTGTCAAAACATTTTGTAGAAACTTAGTTAAAATCAATATGTTTTGATCGATTACATATCGTTTATCTATAATTTCATTGACTTTATAATGTTTTCACAAAGTTATTTAAATTTTTGAAGTAAGCGTTGAAAAAACGTTGAAAAACTAGTCCAAACAGCTTGCTTTTTGCACGTAAATCACTATGTATTGTAAACCTTTGTAAAACATAAAATTTGTAATGTACCTGTGTCAAAACTTTAGAAACTAGTTAAAATCAATATGTTTTGATCGATTACATATCGTTTATCTATAATTTCATTGACTTTATAATGTTTTCACAAAGTTATTTAAATTTTGAAGTAAGCGTTGAAAACGTTGAAAAACTAGTCCAAACAGCTTGCTTTTGCACGTAAATCACTATGTATTGTGTAAACCTTTGTAAAACATAAAATTTGTAATGTAACCTGTGTCAAAACTTTAGAAACTAGTTAAAATCAATATGTTTTGATCGATTACATATCGTTTATCTATAATTTCATTGACTTTATAATGTTTTCACAAAGTTATTTAAATTTTGAAGTTGAAAACGTTGAAAAACAGCGTTGAAAAACTAGTCCAAACAGCTTGCTTTTGCACGTAAATCACTATGTATTGTAAACCTTTGTAAAACATAAAATTTGTAATGTAACTGTGTCAAAAAACTTTAAAAACTAGTTAAAATCAATATGTTTTGATCGATTACATATCGTTTATCTATAATTTCATTGACTTTATAATGTTTTCACAAAAAGTTATTTAAATTTTGAAGTAAGCGTTGAAAACGTTGAAAAACTAGTCCAAACAGCTTGCTTTTTTTGCACGTAAATCACTATGTATTGTAAACCTTTGTAAAAACATAAAATTTGTAATGTACCTGTGTCAAAAAACTTTAGAAACTAGTTAAAAATCAATATGTTTTGATCGATTACATATCGTTTATCTATAATTTCATTGACTTTATAATGTTTTCACAAAGTTATTTAAATTTTGAAGTAAGCGTTGAAAACGTTGAAAAACTAGTCCAAACAGCTTGCTTTTTTGCACGTAAATCACTATGTATTGTAAACCTTTGTAAAACATAAAATTTGTAATGTACCTGTGTGTCAAAACATTAAAACTAGTTAAAATCAATATGTTTTGATCGATTACATATCGTTTATCTATAATTTCATTGACTTTATAATGTTTTCACAAAGTTATTTAAATTTTGAAGTAAGCGTTGAAAACGTTGAAAAACTAGTCCAAACAGCTTGCTTTTGCACGTAAATCACTATGTATTGTAAACCTTTGTAAAAAACATAAAATTTGTAATGTACCTGTGTCAAAACTTTAGAAACTAGTTAAAATCAATATGTTTTGATCGATTACATATCGTTTATCTATAATTTCATTGACTTTATAATGTTTTCACAAAAGTTATTTAAATTTTGAAGTAAGCGTTGAAAACGTTGAAAAACTAGTCCAAACAGCTTGCTTTTTGCACGTAAATCACTATGTATTGTAAACCTTTAAAACATAAAATTTGTAATGTAAAACATTAGAAACTAGTTAAAATGTGTCAAAACATTAGAAACTAGTTAAAATCAATATGTTTTGATCGATTACATATCGTTTATCTATAATTTCATTGACTTTATAATGTTTTAATGTTTTCACAAAGTTATTTAAATTTTGAAGTAAGCGTTGAAAACGTTGAAAAACTAGTCCAAACAGCTTGCTTTTGCACGTAAATCACTATGTATTGTAAACCTTTGTAAAACATAAAATTTGTAATGTACCTGTGTCAAAAAACTTAGAAACTAGTTAAAATCAATATGTTTTGATCGATTACATATCGTTTATCTATAATTTCATTGACTTTATAATGTTTTCACAAAGTTATTTAAATTTTGAAGTAAGCGTTGAAAACGTTGAAAAACTAGTCCAAACAGCTTGCTTTTGCACGTAAATCACTATGTATTGTAAACCTTTGTAAAACATAAAATTTGTAATGTAAAATCTGTGTCAAAACGTTAGAAACTAGTTAAAATCAATATGTTTTGATCGATTACATACCGTTTATCTATAATTTCATTGACTTTATAATGTTTTCACAAAGTTATTTAAATTTTGAAGTAAGCGTTGAAAACGTTGAAAAACTAGTCCAAACAGTTTGCTTTTGCACGTAAATCGCTATGTATTGTAAACCTTTGTAAAACATAAAATTTGTAATGTACCTGTGTCAAAACGTTAGAAACTAGTTAAAATCAATATGTTTTGATCGATTACATATCGTTTATCTATAATTTCATTGACTTTATAATGTTTTCACAAAGTTATTTAAATTTTGAAGTAAGCGTTAAAAACGTTGAAAAACTAGTCCAAACAGCTTGCTTTTGCACGTAAATCACTATGTATTGTAAACCTTTGTAAAACATAAAATTTGTAATGTACCTGTGTCAAAACTTTAGAAACTAGTTAAAATCAATATGTTTTGATCGATTACATATCGTTTATCTATAATTTCATTGACTTTATAATGTTTTCACAAAGTTATTTAAATTTTGAAGTAAGCGTTGAAAACGTTGAAAAACTAGTCCAAACAGCTTGCTTTTGCACGTAAATCACTATGTATTGTAAATCTTTGTAAAACATAAAATTTGTAATGTACCTGTGTCAAAACTTTAGAAACTAGTTGAAATCAATATGTTTTGATCGATTACATATCGTTTATCTATAATTTCATTGACTTTATAATGTTTTCACAAAGTTATTTAAATTTTGAAGTAAGCGTTGAAAACGTTGAAAAACTAGTCCAAACAGCTTGCGTAAATCACTATGTATTGTAAACCTTTGTAAAACATAAAATTTGTAATGTACCTGTGTCAAAACTTTAGAAACTAGTTAAAATCAATATGTTTTGATCGATTACATATCGTTTATCTATAATTTCATTGACTTTATAATGTTTTCACAAAGTTATTTAAATTTTGAAGTAAGCGTTGAAAACGTTGAAAAACTAGTCCAAACAGCTTGCTTTTGCACGTAAATCACTATGTATTGTAAACCTTTGTAAAACATAAAAAATTTGTAATGTAACTGTGTCAAAACATTACAAAGTTATTTAAATTTTGAAGTAAGCGTTGAAAACGTTGAAAACTAGTCCAAACAGCTTGCTTTTGCACGTAAATCATCCTTCTTTGGATTTTTATCAGTGAGCTCAAGGTAAAACTGGACCATATGTGGCAGCAATATTCTAAGCTTGGATGAATATTAGACTTAGAGATATGTCATTGATTCTGGAGAGAAAAATTGTCTAGCACAACACAATGAACCAACTTTCTTAGCATCTGACCTTGCAATAGATTCCATATAGTCTTCCAACTTTATGTCAGCCAAGAATGTTAGCTGTTTAAAGCTGATTTATTTGTAAATTAATTTTTTGTTCTTTATTGGCAAATTAATTGATCATGTTATTGTCAAATGTATGAGAAATACTCTTCCTTCATCTTTTACAAAAGGAATCAGTAGATACCTCTATTTTTTTCTTTCATTTTATCTCACTCATTCAATGTTAATTCCTGTAACTACTTTCACTTAGTTCTTACACATTCTCTGTGCTTGTGCGTAAAACAGGCATGGGAACTGTGTACAGAAATAGTGAATTTCTTTGCTGAGACTACTAATATTGTTTATTCACAATTTGTCATATGGAGTGACAGACTGAGAGACTTGAAAAAATTATCATGATTGCAAGATGGGATAGTAAAAATTAGCAATAATTAATTACCACTTGCATTAAGCTTACAGCCATATCATGTTGAAACACTAGTTCCCATATGATCACCAAAGTTAAGCATCATCAAGCCTGCTCAGTACCTAGATGGGTGACCACTTGGGAATAACAGGTGCTATAAGTTTGGATATGTGGGTGGTGTAAAGGATAATGGCTTAGAATTGGTAATCAGAAAGCCATGTTCCAATTCTACATCAGTTTGTTATATTTACTTACATACAAATACCTTTAGAAAAGGTATAAATCCACCTTTTCTCCCTCAGCCATAGATTAATTAGTAAGACTTGTATCACTAAATCATTATTGTCTAAAATTTTTTTACAATTTAAAAATATCTGCTTTAAATGACCTGCAAAGGATTGATAAGTCATAGAAAACTAGTCCATCATTCAAACCACTTGATCATCAAGCAATTGTCCTCAGGTTTTCTCGTAGACTTGCTACCACCCAAGGCATGAGACCCCAGTCAGCTCAAAAGCTGGAGGATCCATTGTCTTTTCCAGTGAAACAGCATTGACTGGAATTTAAACTTGTCATGAAAAAATTATATTATAAATAAAAATGATCGTATATTATTATTATGACGATCCATGGAAGAGGTTTTTCCTTGAAAGATTGAGAACACAAAAACGGCCCTTTTCAGGGCATTCATTCCCCCATTCAAATTATTACCAAACCATTTGGGGATGTGCCTCAGTTGCACCCAGTTGTTGTTACTCAGATTGATTTCCAGGTGGGCTGATTTAAATTTAAACTGCTCCAATTGAACAATAAAAATTCCCAGTAATGAAACACCCGGTTATACTGCTAGTATATATATATAGAATTTCTGGTATAAGATATTGTAACTATCTACACCATTGACATTATTTGGATAGTTGTTCTCACCTTTATTGTCATATTCATGATGTTTCAGCCAGTGTATGCTTACTTCAGGTGATATACATTGGAATAATAATTTCTTGGGAAATTTTATTTTCTCATTTATCCCTTTCTTCATATATATAGTATTAAATACTAAAAAATATCCTTCCTAATGCAATGGCACTTTGTCTTTTTCAAAGTATTCACCTTGAAACATCACACAATTATCCCAGAGCCATAGCATATTTCAATACACTATAATGTCTGCTTTCAGGACTGCTGTCAGCGACAAATTTACATTCTCCTAAATCTTGTCTGCAGTCTAAAACCTTTTTGTGGCAATTTTAGTTTTGAGGAAAACCAGACTATGCATCAAACCAAATCTGTACAGACCTACTTAGGTGATGTAAAGTCATCCAAGTATGATACATGAAGAATGATGAATCTCATAATGAATATAATGGTCACATAGTAGAGAAGCTCATGCATTGACATCTCTCTACTTAACAAATAACCTAAGTGTTTTTTCTAGCATATGAAGTATTGTTATCTCCTAATTGATTCACATGTTATATTAAGGATATACTTGACAACGAAAACAGAGGTGTTTCATTAAGATGAATCAAAGTCAGCAGTAAAATCAGTAAATCAGTGTTATTGGTGAAAATTTATTTATTTCTCTATTGGATGATGTTATTTAAGCTGTGGTAATTATGTGTGAAAAATAATATCGCCCCAAATGTTTGCCAAATCTAAAAGAAAAAGTCATTAGACACTTAAACCTAATTCATATTTAAAATCAGTTCAAGTTATCGGAACACCCTTCATATATATATATATATATATATATATATATATATGAAGAAACCTTGAAAAAAAAAAACAAAATCCCTTCATGTAGTTAAATGAAAATGACGTCTGTGTTTTATGTTTAATAAACCTTTTTCAAGACAATATTCAACTGAATTCAGTTCAATTTGATGAATATTGTCTTGAAAAACACAATTAAACCGAAACGTAACAGACGTCGACATTTTTTTCATTTAACTACATTTAGGGATTTTTTGTTTGTTTTTCAAGGTTTTTCATTCTGTCGGATTTGTATCCATTTACACTTGCTTATATATATATATATATATATATATATATATATATATATATATATATATATATATATATATGTGTGTGTATATATCTCACTATATATATCAGTTGTCAATATACCACATAACACCATGGAGCACTTAGCCTTGTAGATCAACGTGCTTTAGTGGACTCAGCAGTTTTCAATCTGCTTGTCTGAATCATCTTCAAGAAGCAAGAGCAAGAACTAAAAGGTCAGCCAATCTAACAGTGATATCATCTCACAATTCCATATGTCGCCTTTTTTGTAAATCACTAGCGGGTCTTAAATGCCACTTAAGATTACGGCACAAAATTTCATAACTGAATCAACTAAACTGTCAGATCCTCATATATCAAAACCGACGAGAGAGTCCATTATTATATGAATATGATATGAAGAGGAATCTTCCTTAGAATCATCAAAGAAATACAGTCAACCTGAACAAGAAAATTAAATTATCTACTAGAAATAATTTAAAATAGTTAACCTTACCATCATGCTTTTTTTGCATTGGATTGAACACCAACTACAAGTTCAGAAGTAATATATATATATATATATATATATATATATATATATATATATATATATATATATATACACATACACCGGATGCGTAAATTGTTGCCATTTCATATTTTTAATTTTGCACATGCACATAGTTTGTTTTTAATTTTGTCAACTGCACATTATAGTAAGATCAGTTTTGCACCATCTCTGAGAAAAAGATCACCATAATCCAATTCACTCAACTAGAAATTTGGAAATGGCATGTTGTACTGCTTGGCATTCATGCCAGAAGCTCCAATATGGACATTTCAGAGTGTTTGGATATCAATCTGAGGGGAGTTCAGAGGATTTGAAAAGAGGTGGTTGAGTCTAATGCTGATTATGAAGGTATGACAGCTCAGAAAACTCACTTTGATCATTGTGATAAGAAAAGAACTTCCAAAATTATTGAAGAGATCCAGGCTATGAATGAAAATAATCCATCCAAGTCATTTTCTCTTTAAATTCAAAATAAAGTGCTGAGAAAAAAAAGCTGATTCAAACATGCAGCAAATAAAAGTGATATTCATAAATATATAGGTTTAATATTATTTCACTGTTATTTTCAACTGAGGCTGGAATTATAAATGAAACTGTAAATTGTTTATAACCTTCCAGACTGTGATATTAAAAGATTATAGTGAAAACCAGTTTTATATAACATATAAGGTTCATTCATAAGTAATTTCTGTTTTTAGTAATCAGTTGTAATGATTCATATAACATCTGATATATTCTTCTTTAGCTGAGTCATAATGAATGTATCATCTGATACATTCCATGAGATTCACTCATACGTAATTTCTGTTTTTAGGAGTTGGTTGTAATGATTAATGTATCATCTGATATGTTCCATTAGATTCAGGCATAGGTAATTTCTGTTTTTAGGAATCAGTTGGAATGATCAATGTATCATTTGATATATTCCATTAGATTCAGTCATAAGTAATTTCTGTTTCTAAGAATCAGGTGTAATGACAAATGTATCATCTGATATGTTCTATTAGATTTAGTCACCCGTAATTTCTGTTTCTAGGAATCAGTTGTAATGATGAATGTATCATCTGATATATTCCATGAGATTCATTCATACGTAATTTCTGTTTTTCAGGAATCAGTTTTGATGATGAATGTATCATCTAATATATTCCATTAGATACAGTCATAGGTTATTTCTGTTTTTAGGAGTCAGTTGTAATAATGAAAGTATCATCTGGTATATTCCATTAGATTCAGTTATAGGTAATTTCTGTTTTAAGGAATCAGTTGTAATGATGAATCTATTATCTGATATATTCCATTAGATTCACTCATAGATAATTTCTGTTTTCAGGAATCAGTTGTAATCATGAATGTATCATCTTATATATATTCCATTAGATTAACTCATATGTAATTTCTGTTTTTAGGAATCAGTTGGAATGATCAATGTATCATTTGATATATTCCATTAGATTCAGTCATAAGTATTTTCTGTTTCTAAGAATCAGGTGTAATGAATGTATCATCTGATATGTTCTACTGATTTAGTCACCCGTAATTTCTGTTTCTAGGAATCAGTTGTAATGATGAATGTATCATCTGATATGTTCTATTACATTCAGTCATAGGTAATTACTGTTTTTAGGAATCAGTTTTAATGATGAATGTATTATCTGATTAATTCCATTAGATTCAGTCATATGTAATTTCAGTTTTTAGGAATCAGTTGTAATGATGAATGTATCATCTGATATATTCCATTAGATTCACTCAGAGTTAATTTCTGTTTTTAACAATCATTTGTATTGATGAATGTATCATCTGATTTATTCCATTAGATTAAGTCATAGTTAATTTCTGTTTTTAGGAATCAGTTGTAATGATGAATGTATCATCTGATAAATTCCATTAGATTCAGTCATTCAGGTAAATTCTGTTTTAGGAATCCAACCGTTCCTGAAATATATAATAATAGGTGATGTGAAATGGGTTGCCGCACAAAATGATGATGGCTTGACAAAGGTAAATCTCCATACCTGACACAGGCTTAGTTCCATAGAAGAATGTTTGTGTTGTACATGGGATCATCTGTATATTATTCATTTAATTTTTTTTAATCCTAGAAACACTAGAAAACACATCCAGCAGCTTCAATAGGTCCATAAATGTTTGGTTAAAAAAATCAGTGGAAAAAAATGTTATTCTCCTCTATAACAATACAAGATTGCATACAGTAAGAACAACAGAAGAAAAACATTATGAAACTCTCTAACAACCATATCTGTCATATTAGCCTGAACCAGTTGTTACTCATTCCAATTGTTGCAAAATGCTTTAATTCCTCATATATTCTTTCATATATTTATGTTTATACATTCTTTTTATAGATACAATTATTTAAGTAAATGTTCTGTTTATAGTAAACAGTAACATTTACTGGCCTGAATGTCCAAGAAATTTTCATAGAAAATATTCATCCTCTGACAGGAATGAAACCTGTACCCTATACAGAACCATCATATAGCCTGACGTACCTTAACCAATTGAGCCACAGAGGATTGTTCGATTAGCAAGGTTGATTTTACTGCTTTTAAACT